ACACTTGCATCTCTGGGAAGCACTTCTGGAAACCCATAGTCGCCAAAACTCATAAACTTGCCCTACTTTGGCTCAGGTCAAAGAAAAAAAAAAAGTCTCATCTCTATTATTTTACTTCAATGGGAAGACTGATCTAAAGATACTGTAGATTTTGTATATTCATAAACATAATGCATGTGAACTGGATTATCAATCAGTGTATGCTTCCCAAGAACATATCAGTGATTTAAGAGAGATGGATAAAATTACAATACTGTCCTTCATTTTATAAAAGGGGTGTTAAATATCTCTTTTATAATTCACAGGAATAGGGAAGAACAGAAACTTGCCATGCCAGCACAAATTATTTTACATTTTTCAGGCTTCTGAAAATGGTTTCATTTCATAAACCTCTAAAACTTTATTGTGCTACTATTAAGACAATAAAGAAAACATTTTCAAAAACTTCAATGAAAGAAACATATACTAATTATTTAAACATTTTTTATAAGCCAGCCACATGGTGGCACATGCTTGTAACCTCAGCAACTCAAGAGGTTAAGGCAGGAGGATCGTCATGAGTTCCAAGGCCAGCCTAAACCACATGAAGAGACCTCATCCCAAAAAACAAAAAAAGAAAGAAAAAAAAAAAAAAAAAAGAATAAATTCAGCAGTCACTTCTAAACCAGGATGAATAAACTACCTACAGAAGTAGCTATTTTGACTTTTTTTTTCATTGAAACCCTTTTTAATTTGTGAAAAAAAATAAAATCCATGATAAAATAACCTTCATTGATTCTGCTATCTTGTTTTATTGTGTTCAGTATATGCTTTCACTCTACTTTTAGAATACCACACACTGCTAAGTATAAAGCTACCTCAATTAAATGGCCTTTTCTGAACAAAAACATCCCCTTACATACAATAACAAATCAGCTGTGCATGGTGGTGCAGGCCTACAATTCCAGCACTTTGGAGGCCAAAGCAAGAGTACCACTCCAAGTCTAACATCACCCTGGGTGGTGAGTTCAAGGCCAGAATAAACTAATTACATAGCAAGGTCCTATCTTGGGGGGAAAAGGCCAAGATCCTCTTTATAATAATATTCTTATATTCTTATTTTGCCTTTAGCAAAAAAACAAGAGGCCAAACACTTTAGGATCAAAGAAACTCTTATCCACATGGGTATAAATTAGCTAATTTCTACTGTGGATATCTTTTCAGATTAATTAATCTCATATTTCTCAAACCTGCATAATTGTAACATTCTTGGAGAATAAGGTCTGAGTAGCTATGTGAGATTAAATGTAGAAAATTAAAGAAATTTTTATATTTTTGTATTTTAGGGAAGAGTCTACAGGGTGTTCAGGGTCCCACTACCAGATTGGACTTGCAGTGATCCATCTGTTTATAGCCCACCAAGAGCAAGGAAATTATGGTAAGATAATACTTACATGGTGTAAAGGTTTTAAAGTTTAAAACATTGTATTATCATTAAAATAATAGATAAATACTTGAACGGGAGCTTCAGATGCTCAAAAATATTTCAGATCTTAAGATTAAACAAAACTGAAACTAAAAAGATGTGAATAAAGTGGCTCAGATAAAACCTGTCTTTTCTTCAGCCTAACTCATCCTTTAATTGGTGATTTTCCACTTTGAACAGCATGGTTTTTCATTTCATTGTGAGAATTAATGAAATAATGCTTGTTTCTGATAAACATTTAGATTACTTTTGTACAACTGAGGTTTTATTAGATTAACAAAATAACAGAACTTCAAGAAAATCAAAGACTATAATATTATCCTTACTCTAATCATCTCATTAAACCAATATTGCCAGGCTAAGGATATCCAATAGAAATATTTACTTACTGATAAACTTTCAAATATGGTTCTTTTATTCGGAAACTTACTTTTCTTTGTTGCTGTATTCTCAAGTAATTGGACAAATGATAAAAAAGATGTGATTCAATTTTTCAAAGGTCTTTTAAAATATGTACAATTGAATTGTTCTTATTTCAGATATGAAAGACTGTATTTACTAGATCCTTTCTTATCAACTTCTTAAATGCATATTGTTAAACATAAAAATGTTCTTCTTTATTAACTTTGACTTTGTAGGCTTTTCAGAGTAAGAATCCAGAGGCTGTGTGACAGCTTTTACTACTGGAGACTGTAACAGTGTCCTTATTCCACTGCTAACAGAGGACTAGTTGCACTGTACAAGCTCACTGTAGCTTCAGGAAGCTACTGAATGCTATGAGTGTATGAAAATATAAAGTATATATCAAGCTCCTGATGCCTCTAAACTTCTAGACACAGCATGTACTACAACAAACTCTTTGGTAAATTATTAATCATTACTAAAGAAATACAAATGTCATAAATCCCATCCAAAGCTAGACAGAGAAGAGTTGCCACTGTCATGGTTAAGTTTATTCTCAGCTTCCTTTCTTTTGGTAGCAGGGATCAAGCCCAGCACCTTGCACATAGCAGGTAAGCACTCTCCCAGTGGGCTATGTCCCTAGCTTAGCTTATTCTTGGATTTCTGACACCTAAAATATATTGATAGTATTCCTTATAAAAATCTGCTTTAATTTTATTTCATTTTTATTTCTGTCCTTTTGAGACAAGGCTTTTCTATGCAGTTCAGGCTAGTCTTTAAATTACATTGTAGCCCAGGCTGGCCTTAAACTCACAGTGATCCTCCTGCCTTAGCTGGAGTGCTGGGATTACAGGCATGCATCACCATGCCTGGCCTGTTTTTAAACATCATAAAATGTTTAGAAATATTTCTTCTATGTAATGAAAATAACATACCAAGCTTTAAGGGCACAGTAAAGAGAGTAAAAGTTTTAACTGTGGACACTACAATTACAGAGGACAATAAATGCTGAAGAAAATCCAAAATAAAACTTTTAAAAAGCTTGATACTTTTCTAACCCCTTAGAAAATATCTGAGTAGGTGTGTGGCCAGGAGTTCAAGAATGGGCAGTAGTACAGATAAAAAAAGCCTCTCACTTTACAGACGTAATTCATTTAATGAGTAGCTCGCAGTCTCTTTGCTTTCATCTATCTTATCCTGTGAACATTAATTTCTCAATAATTTAATTTTTATCAAGATTAGTGTTCAGATCCCAACCTGCTTTAAAAATGATTGAATCTTTATGCTTCTGTGAAATAAAGGTGGGGTCAGAACCTTCTTACATTAAAAAAAAATCTTTTATTGTGAAAACCTGCAAAAAGGTGATAAATGTCTGTAATTCCAGGCACTCAGGAAGCTGAGGCAGGGGTATAGTTTGAGGCTGGCCTGAACAACACAGGGAGACTGTGAGACAGACAGACAAATGTTGACCAGATCTACCTAGCCTACAAGCCCACAATCATTCTAGTCACTTGGTTTTCTCCACTGTTACTAACTCTTGTTGCTTTAATGTTCTTAGTGGGCAAAAGTAATCACATTGTCTTCGGAACTCTCACATTTAACTTAAAAAACTGCACAGTGCATGGCGTCATTTCTGTGTATGTTCTAATACCCTTCTTCAAGAATGATTTCTGAGAATAAAAACACTATACTTTTAAGTCAATTTTGTTATAAAAGGGGAAAGAGCATTTAAAAATCAAACACATAGTTTCTAAAAATTCTTAGTTACACTGAGCTGACTTAAATTACTTATTTATAATTTAATACACAGAGCTAAATGAAACCTGAACTTCCAAATAGCCAGTGCATGAAATATCATCAGCATATTATATTAGGTGACCTATGTAAAACAAAGAACTGACATAACTTCAAGATTGTTTTGCTTTTAAGAAACGTGCTATGGTGTAACAAAAAGGCCAGATGGGCACTTAAATATAATTTGGGACCAAATACTTACACAAATCAGTATGGAAAAAGACTAAAGGCATTTCATTTTAAAGTGAATGATGTCTCACATTTACATAGCACCTTATATAGAGAAAGTGCTTTACATGATTTCTTGACAGTCACTTGTCAATGTAAATAAATGTAGTCTATAAGCACTTTGAGGCAAGCAAATACCCAAGAAAATCTACTCACTAACAAATTCTTGGACAAGTAGATATAACTAAGAAAAAGTATGAAGACATCTGTCATAATATCACATACAGAAGTCATTCATGATCTTAATGGCTGATAAGAAAATGTTTAGCAGGAACTACTGAAAAATGGAAAGGTTTAAATGAAGGAATAAAAGTAAAACAAATGAGGCACAAGTGAACAAACTGCCCAACAGGTAAGGCTTCCTATAACCATAAGTATGTGAAAAAGAAATCATTTAGCTGTGGAGAAAAGTTGAAATTATAAATGTGAAACACATGGCTAGAATCTGATTCTGTTATTAAGTTATTCCAAAGCAAGGGAAAAAAATTAATGTACTACCTGATTTCTTTCTTGTATAATTTCTCCTCATATAACATTACCAATGCGTTCATTTCTGCTAGCAAACAGAATAGCGCTGAATAATAAAAGTTCACGGATTTATGTTTTAAAAATTTTCTCCAAAGCTTAGGACAATTTAGTTTCCTGTAAACTCATTTTTTTTCCCCTCTAAATAATTCTGCCAGGTGCTTTAAGTAAGATAAGATTCAATTAGCACCTCTGCCAATGTATTTAAGTCTTTGCAAAAAGTGCACTTGTCAACCATTCTGTGCAGTAAATATGTAAGTTATTTGAAGTGCATTGTGAAAACAGATTAATACATCATAAAAAGATTAATTCCCTTTAAACAAAGACATTCTTATAAAGCACAGTAACACAGAAGCACAATAAAGAATATAAATTGTATATCAATTGTTGGCAGAAAATCTAATTCAATACAAAGCCTATACCATTGGGAAGAGGACATTTCCATACAAAGAAAAGTATTACACTATTATACAACACTTAATCAGACACTTACAAATTTTTGGCACATTAAAAGAAACTAAAAAGTGTACGAATAAAGAACAAAGAAACTAAAACAAAGATATGAGACAGACAGACAGAGAGAGAGAGAGAGAGAGAGAGAGAGAGAGAGAGAAAGAGAGAGAGAGAGCGAGCTCAATGTAAAACACTAAATACGGACATAGAAGAGAAACAAAAAAATAAGCTGGCTGAGTTTCCTGAAATGTTCTATGTAACAGAAGTATGCTTCAATGCAGGTTGTTTACTTCTACTGGCAAGACTTCTCTACCTTGCTGTGGCTGGCTGAACGTGGCCTGGATAAGATCTTCTTGTGCTGGTTGCTTGTCTTTGCCTAGCTAGAAATGACTGCCCTGAACCAGTGCTAGCTAGTCTATCTTCAGCTGCTTTTTTATGCAGAGTCATTCCCTGTAACATTAAGGAAAAAAAAAGTAATCAATGAAAAAATAGTGGAATATGTTCTTACAGAAGAAAATTTCTTGTAATGGTAATCAACTTTAGGACCTTGTGCTTGTCAGGTAGGTGCTGCATAATTATATCCCCAGGCCAGAAGAAAATTTCATTATGTATAATTTGTTACACTACACAGTAAAGCAGTTTAAGAAATATTGATTCTATTTATTATAGATTAAGATCTTTTAATGGCATTTATTTCCAACAATTAAGAACCAATCTTTTGGAGAAATTAAGGCTTACTTTTCTGAATTTACAACAGATAATGGAAAGATTTTTGGAATATGTTACCCATACCCCCCATTCAAATTAAATGTATTTTTTTGAGGTACTGGGAATCAGACTCAAGACCCATGCTTGCCAGGCAGATGCTGAGAAATTAAACACATAAAGTGACTTTCTAAGGAAAAAAAAATAATTGTAGTAGTTGATTAACATAGGTTTTGAAAATCAAAAGGGCTTATTTAGAAAGAAAAAACACTTAATGCAATTATTTCTTTTTTTAAATGCAATTATTTCTTATGACAAACGCCACACTGGGTATTATACATACCTCCATGCTGTTTTTCTTCACTTCAGAGCAGACCTGTATTCTCAAATTAAGAAAAGTTCCTAACTGCCCACTACAGAGGGCCCAACCAAGAGCAAGGGGGTCTCTTTTGAAGAAGTAAAGGTCACCTATTTCACCTTAGAGAGGCAGCAGGGCTCAAAACACCATCACAGGAGTGTTAAATGTCAAAGTGTTCCCAGAAGGTGGAGGAGTAACATGAATAATAGCTTACTTTATAAAGGTAGACATCCAAGAGCAGATCAGGAAAAAGCAGTTGTGGTATTATTTTAATAAACCAATGAAGAAAGGTACTGCATAATTATAGAAACTTTAGGAACTGGGAGGTACTATTTAATCTCATCAATAACTGGACACAGGTAATCTGTAAGATTAGAAGCTCTCTCCTCTCCACCTGTCTTTCATTCATTCATTCATTCATTCATTCATTCATTCATTCATTCTTTCTTTATTTATTTATTTATTTATTTATTTATTTATTTATTTGGTACAGGGTCTCACTATGCAGCCCGGACTTGTAGTGACCTTCCTCTCTCAGATTCCCAAGTACTGGGATTAGAGGTGTATGCCACCATGCTTGGCTAGAGGCAAATTTTCTTATTACTGCTTAGTTCTAGGAAAACACTGGTCCTGGCTTTACACTGCCTTTTTTTTTTTTTAATGAACATTTTACTGTTTACATTGTTTTTTATTTCTGTATTTAGGACAGGGTCTACAGGGTCTTACTACATAGATCAGACTCATAGTGATTCTCCAGTTTTCAGCCTCCAAAGCACTTGGATTATAGGCACATGCCACCACGCCCAGTCTCAATCACCATCTGAGCACGCCCCAGGGATGGGGCGAGCAAGGATCAAATGCAGACCTCTATGCTCTACCTAAGCAGGCACTTTAATCCACTGAGCTATCAGGCTGGCCCTCTGATTTTGCATTTTTAACATAATTTCAATCTATCATATCTCCCCAGATATCACACAATTCCCTAATGAAAAATTCCAGCATAACTTTTTTTAAAGTCAACCTGAAAACAAATTATTTAAAGATTTGAATAAAATAGACAAACATCTTTTGACAATCTTTATTTTATCTGTATCTGGACTAAAATCTAGACTGTATAAAAAATTCAACATTGTTGAATTCCTATTACTACGTTTAGTGAAATTTTGTCTTGTTTCTAATTTTTTTTTTACTATTTTATATTCTTTAAAAATAAAAATAAAAAACCCACACAAAATTAAAGTCCCCCAAAACAAAAGATCCAATCAAAAAGTGGGCAACTAAAATAGACACTTCTCAGAAGCAACACAAATGGCCAATGAATACATGAAAAATGTTACATCAGAGATACCACCTTACCCCAGAAAAAATGACTATCATCTAAGAAGAAATGCTGGTGAGGATGTGGGAACAAAGGAATTCTTCTACATGTTGGTAGGAATGTAAATTAGTACAACCACTTGGGAAATCAGTAAAGATATTCCACAAAAAACAAAAACAAAAATAGAAATTACATTTGATCCAGCCCTTCCCCTTCTAGGTATCATCTCAAAAGCGTTAAAGTTATCATCTTAAAAGGATGTCTGCAAACCCATGCTTACAGCAGCACCATTTATAATAGCTAGGTCTTGGAAACAGCACATATATCAATCAACAGATAGATGAATAGGGAAATATTTTATTTATACATAATGGAGTAATACACTACATAAACAAAGATAAACTTCAGGTATTCATAAGCAAATAAACTTTTGATTTTTTAAAAAAATGTATTTAGTACAGGGTCTACAGGGTCTCACTACAGACTGGGCTCGTAGCAATCCTCCTGTTTTCAGCTTCCCAGGAGCTGAGATTACAGGCATGCGCCACCACACCTAGTCTCACTGGCTGTCTGAACATGCTCCAGGGACAGGGCTGGCACAGCTTGTGGTACCGGGGATCGATCCCTGGCCCCTGTGCTTTGCCTATGCAGTTGCTTTAGTCTGCTGAGCTATCTGGCCGGCTCTGAACTTAACTTTTGGGAGAGGTACTGTGAATTGAACTCAGATGTCATGCTTGTCAAATAGGTGCTACATTGCTGAGCTATCACCCCATCCCCAAATGAATTTACCTTGAGAATAGAATGGTGAGTGAAATAAGTCAGACATACAAGGTTAAATATTGTATGGTTTCTCTTATATGAGAAACAAAAAAATACACAAATTAATAAAGAGAAAAATAGTAGATAAATAGAAAGAAGTTCAAGTAATTCTCCAAGTTATCTATTGTTTCAAAAATATTTTAATATATATGCTAATTGGTTTCATTTGTACTACTAGTTTCTTTTGTTCATTGTACTGTTATCTGTTTCTTCTTTGTAAGAGAGAATGTTTTTATGACGTTCTCTGAGCAACATTTTGGCAATTTTTTTATGATAATAAAACATAGTTTATTAGCTGCTATTCTCTATTTTGTATTGAAGTTTTGTATTTTTTAATAAAAGAATGCCCTTTGTATTTACTTGTAGTACATTAAAACAAAAAATAAACTCTAATTTAGCTACCTATATTGAAATTATAACTTATTTAAAATATTATAGCTTTTTTCACTTCTACACTTGCAGCAATTCATTCACATTCTTTACACTTTTAAAACCCTTACATCCATCATAAAACTATTCTTTGCACTAATTAATATGTTTTTCCAGCCCTCAACAACTCCATTTTCATTTAAGTTGGCTGACATGCAGGGTTTTCTGAATGTAAGCAACATGTAGTTACTGGTTATCTAATCTTAATATAGTTTGTATAAATCTGTTTACTCTTTGAAGAGTTAAAAATTAGGACTATGCTTTTTTGGGGTGTTGTTTTTTTGTGAGACAGGATTTCACTATGTAGCTCAGACTTTGAACTCATGGTCATACTCCTGCCTCCCAATTGCTGGGGTTACTGATGTGCGTCTCCATACCTGGTGAAGACTACTCTTTAGTGTCAAAGTCACAGAATAAATCTGTTTCTGTAAGCAATAGTACGTGAAACCACACAAATCGATTAATAATGTAAGATTATTAATGAAGACTAAGATACAGAGCTACAAGAATGACATTACTAAGCTTAACAGAGGAATAGTAAAAATCGGGATTTATTTTCAGAGAACTTCATTTAAATGTGTGGTTTTGTTTCTATGTTTAGATTTTTATTTTATCATTTTTTATGTTTAGATTTTTAAGACATCTACATTTGTTAATAATATTCTACACTCAAAATTATTTCTTTTCTAAAAATAGTTGTGTTGAAATCTTAGTCTTGACCAATACTAAGACAAATTTGACTAAGATAAATATAAATGTTGATACATTATGAAATTTATGAAATTTTAGCAAAGATCAAAGCCCACTGCTAGACCAGGGACATTAACCCTCGAGAAGCAGTATCAGTTACTACTGCAAAACAAAAACAATGGTCTTATGCTAACAGAAGCATAGGGCCAGAAGAATATGTTGAAAGGAATCTGGTTTGGTTACCTGTTTCAGACACAGAAGTTGTTTCATTGGGAAGAATAAGAACAAAAGGAAGAACTGAGAAAAAATACGAACACATAGTTCTTCAGATAAGAATGTTGATGAGCATTCAGTTTTCCCTGAATACATTTACAGGGTTCTGGGACATTGAACTTAAAAGCCTCCAGAGGAGTTAAGGTCTGTGCCTGAAAACATGTCCCCCCCATGGCACAGCGAGGCTGTCCTAAACGTAAGTTCTACAAAGGCACTGGGGCAGTCACACACCAATTAGGTCAGAAAGGTGATGCTCATAAGGACTGTGTTCGTACATGATTAATGTTCCTTTCCCTGCAACGTGTGGGCTGACACTGAGCTTTCTATCCTCTATAGTACCCAAGTCTTCAAAATGCATTCACTGTTCACAGTGGTTATCATATTTGCTTTTCAGTCCTCAGGTCAGGACTGAGGTTTTGTTAGTGTGTGTTAGGACAGCAACAACTTTCTCATTCTTTGGTTATAGTAAAGAAAAGGCAATATAGGAAATATCTACTGAACTTTCTATTATGTTCTAAAATGCTATTTGTCTTACCATATTGTACCAGGCACTAACAATATATTTCTCCTCCATGTCTCTTTGACTCTTCGTTTTCTCATATTCTTTCTAAAGAATAACCAAATATAAACATATAAGATAATTCAATATAAACAAAATATTACAATTGCCTAAATCCATAGACATAATTATGTAACACAGCAAGGCTTCTAGCAAATAATCAAACATCAAAATAGTATTTTATTGTACAGTACAGTAAACTACCTCTAATGAATGGAACAGTCGGTCCCGTTCCTGGAGTTGATTTTTAAGAGCTTGTATTTCTGGTGCTGCTCCTTGATTTTGTTTAGGATCTAAAGTACGGATAACCTGCAAGAGTAATGAAAGAAAAATTTACAAAGTCTTGGGCTATGAGCATAACTTGGTAGTAGACTGCTTGCATATCAAGTGTAGGTTCCTGGATTCAATCCCCAATTCAATTCAAACCTGCTTTCCCATACATTTCTCTAAAATACCTTTCTTTCCAGTCCAACTTTTCAAAGGAGTCTCCACACTGATTTCCATAATGGTTGCACCAATCTACATTCCCACCAGCAGTGGAGAAGGGGTCCTTTTTCCCCACAGCCTCTCCAACATTAGTTGTTGGTTGACTTCTTTATCATAGCCATTCTTTCTGGGGTGAGATGATATCTCAATGTTGTTCTAATTTGCATTTCACGGATGGCTAGTGATGTGGAGCATTTTTTCATATATTTATTTGCTTCTTTAATTTCATCCTCTGAGAAGCATGTGTTCATCTTGGATGCCCATTTCCGGATTAGGTTTTTAATTTTGGGGGCCCTAGTGTTTTTTAGTTCTTTATAAATTCTAGAGAGCAGACTTTCGTCTGAGTACTTATTTGTCATGATTTTTTCCCAATTTGTGGGTTGTCTTTTCACTTTGTTGGTAATTTTTTTGACATGAAAAAACTTCTCAGTAAGAGCAGGTCCCAGTTGTTAATCCTTTCAACTGTTTCCCATGTGATTTGATTTCTGTTCATGAAGTCTTTGCCTACCCCTATGTTTTCAGGAGTTCCTCCTACTTTCTCTTCCAGGAGATTTAGTGTCTCTGCTTTAATGTTTAGATCTTTAATCCATTTTGACTTTAGTTTAGTGCATGGTGATAGGCCTGGGTCAAGTTTGAGTTTTCGGCATGTAGAGAGCCAGTTTTTCCAGCACCATTTGTTAAAGAGGCTATCTTTCTTTCAGTGAGTATGTTTGGCCCCTTTGTCAAAGATAAGGTGGCCGAGTGTGTTCATAGGGGCTTCATATCATAGGGATATATTTGTGCCTATGTTTATAGCAGCACAATTTGTGATACCAAATCTTGTTAACAATCAAGATGCCCATCATGTTAGGAATGGTTGAAAAAGATGTGGTATTTTTACACAATAGAGTATTACTCAGCTATAAAGAATGATAAACTCGAAGCCTTTATATTGAAGTGGATGCCACTCGAACACATACTCATAAGTGAAATAAAGTAGACACATGTGTAAATATCGTATAGTTTCCCTAGTATAAGAACTCAAAAGAAGAAATACAAATAGAAAGGTATAATACAAGTAAAAGGAAAGCAAGATCTCAAGGACTAATCAAAAGAGGGAAAGAAGAAGACCTAGGAACCATGAATAAGTCAAGCCATGCAGTTATATGTAGAAGATGGGCAAGGCAATGATCCTGAGAATCTCCAGAAGATTTTTGAATCTAGCAGTTAATTGGAAAGATTCTCACCCTGACTAATGATATATACTGATACCTGTGAACTAAGCAACGGCACTGAAAATGGTAATCTGTAATAGTAGTTTCATGCTTGGAGTGCCTGTCATTCTGGTCTTCTGAATACGGGCTGCTTCTCATGACATGCCATTTGCTGCTGTGCTGTCTCTCGGGTAGATGATTGTTCAAAAGAAGGGGGTGGTGAATAAAGGCAAGAGATAGGAAAAGGAATATTGTGGGACTGTCCTGCTTCAAGGTTGTATATGGTTAGATTATTGGACTTACGTATAAACATAAGAAGTATATAATTCGGGGCTGGTGAGATGGCTCAGTGGTCTAAAGCACCTACTTAGAACAAGCTAAGCTAAGCAAAGCATAGCACAGGAACCACGGTTCAATCCCACAGCACCACAT